GCAACCTCTGCCTCCCAGGTTCAAGTGATTCTCCTGCCTCAGCCTCCCGAGTAGCTGAGATTACCAGCATGTGCCACCACGCCCAGCTAAGTTTTGTATTTTTAGTAGAGATGGGGTTTCACCATGTTGGCCAGGCTGGTCTCGAATTCCTGACCTCAAGTGATCCACCCACCTCAGCTTCCCAAGGTGCTGGAATTACAGGCGTGAGCCGCTACGCCCAGCCTACACAGTATTCTCAGGTTAGCATATTCATACTGTTCTATTGTGAATATAGTTTATTCAACCTCTCTTTTATTTTTGGCTATTTGGGATGTTTCCAGTCTTTTGCTATTATACACGGTGTTACAGATAAATAGACTTGTACATGCAGCTTTTCATGTGTTTGCCAGGATATTTGAGTTGGATTCCCTAAAATAGATTGACTGGATCAAAGGGTAAATGCATATATTACTTTGCTAAATATTGCCAAATTCCCCTTCATAGAGCTCATATTCTTTTGCATCCTCACAAGCAATAGATTGTTTCCCTACAGTCTTGCTGCCATGGCATACCATGTCTTGAATTTTGGCCATTCTGACAGGTAGGAAATGATACTTCAATGTAATTTTAGGCTGCATTTATTTTGTTGTAAGCAAGGTTGAACATGTTTTTATATGGGTAAGAGGCATGTGCATTATTTTTCCTATAGAGTTCTTGGCTTTTTCTCTTTTCCATTTTAAAAAGCTCTGTTTAGGTATGGATATTAACCCTTTAAGATTATTCATTAACCTGGGAAAATATCCACAACTTGTTGAGTGCAAACAGCAAAATACTAAATTGTGTATTCGGTTGAGTTCAGCTGATAAAAGACAGAAAAGTATGTGTGTATATATGCGGGATGGATGCTCTATAACCAAAGTATTACCAGTAGTTATCATTGGGAGTGTGATTATACTTGATGTCTTGATCCTCTTTATTCTTTACTATAGTTTCAAGATTTCTTATAATAGGCTAGAATAAACCAGGAAAAATGGTTTGTTTTTTTCCCCCATTTATTTTATTGCATTTTAGGTTTTGGGGTACATGTGAAGAACATGCAAAATTGTTGCATAGGTACACACGTGGCAGTGTGATTTGCTGCCTTCCTCCCCATCACCTACATCTGGCATCTCTCCCCTTGCTATCTCTCCCCAGCTTCCCACCCCCCACCGTCCCTCCCCTATTTCCCCACAACTGACCCCAGTGTGTAGTGCTCCCCTTCCTGTGTCCATGTGTTCTCATTGTTCAACACCCACCCATGTGTGAGAACATGTGATGTTTGATCTTCTGCTCTTCTGTCAGTTTGCTGAGAATGATGGTTTCCAGGTTCATCCATGTCCCTACAAAGGACCCAAACTCATCGTTTTTGATGGCTGCATAATATTCCATGGTGTATATGTGCCACATTTTCCCTATCCAGTCTATCGTCGATGGGCATTTGGGTTGGTTCCAGGCCTTTGCTATTGTAAACAGTGCTGCAATGAACATTCGTGTGCACGTGTCCTTATAGTAGAACGATTTGTAATCCTTTGGATATATACCCAGTAATGGGATTGCTGGGTCAAATGGAATTTCTATTTCTAGGTCCTTGAGGAATCGCCACACTGTCTTCCACAATGGTTGAACTAATTTACACTCCCACCAACAGTGCAAAAGTGTTCCTATTTCTCCACATCCTCTCCAGCATCTGTTGTCTCCAGATTTTTTAATGATCGCCATTCTAACTGGCGTGAGATGGTATCTCAATGTTGTTTTGATTTGCATTTCTCTGATGATCAGTGATGATGAGCATTTTTTCATATGTTTGTTGGCCTCATGTATGTCTTCTTTTGTAAAGTGTCTGTTCATATCCTTTGCCCACTTTGGAATGGGCTTGTTAGTTTTTTTCTTGTAAATCTGTTTTAGTTCTTTGTAAATTCTGGATATCAGCCCTTTGTCAGATGGGTAAACTGCGAAATTTTTTTCCCATTCTGTTGGTTGCCGATTCGCTCTAATGACTGTTTCTTTTGCAGTGCAGAAGCTGTGGAGTTTGATTAGGTCCCATTTGTCTATTTTGGCTTTTGTTGTCAATGCTTTTGGCGTTTTGGTCATGAAGTCCTTGCCTACACCTACGTCCTGAATGGTTTTGCCTAGATTTTCTTCTAGGGTTTTTATGGTGTTAGGTCTTATGTTTAAGTCTTTAATCCATCTGGAGTTAATTTTAGTGTAAGGAGCCAGGAAGGGGTCGAGTTTCTGCTTTCTGCACATGGCTAGCCAGTTTTCCCAACACCATTTATTGAACAGGGAATCCTTTCCCCATTGCTTGTTTTTGTCTGGTTTGTCAAAGATCAGATGGTTGTAGATATGTTGTGTTGCCTCCGAGACCTCTGTTCTGTTCCATTGGTCTATATCTCTGTTTCGGTACCAGTACCATGCTATTTTGATTACTGTAGCCCTGTAGTATAGTTTGAAGTCCGGTAGCGTGATGCCCCCCGCTTTGTTCTTTTTGCTTAGAATTGACTTGGCTATGCGGGCTCTCTTTTGGTGAAAAATGTTTTAAAAATTAATAAGATATTGGTGGCAAAAAGATGTACATCAAGTGATATTAAGATGTTGATTGATATATTTGAAACTTTATATTAATTCACAGTATTGATTTGCTCAATAGTTATATATTGAGTGCTTACCACACCAAGTGATGTTCTAGGTACTGAAGAACCAGTAGTGAACAAAACAGATACAGTCCCCTCCGTTCGTGAGCTTATTGTTTGATAAAGGAAAAACAATACATAGTTTAAAAATGTTCACTCATCTCCATCTTGTTAATTATTTGTACTGACTTCTGGATGAAATTTTCTTTGCTGTGAGACTTAATGTATAACTGTGTGTTTTCAGCCATGTCACTGTGGGAAAAAGTGCAAATATCCCCTTTGCAAAACCAACCAAAATTCCATGTTTGGGAAATTGTCTGAAGTGTTGTTGAGAAGCTCTAGAAACTGTTGAGTAGTTTAGGGAAGTTGGATAAACAGGAATCCCTTTTGAACTGACAAAAATTACTTGTTGTAAAATGACAAATCTCATCTACTCCTTTTCCTGACATGCCTGCTGATATCCTGAAAAAGAGAGGGGGAAACTGAACCGAATATTATTATATGGGCCCCTCTTTGCCTGGCTGACTGTTGTCCATTCTTCGGAGGTCAGCTCAAATGTCACCGGTCCTAAGAAACTGCTTCTGCCTCCTATAGCCCAGGTTAGGATTTTCTCCGGGATGTACCCAACATCTTGTGCTTGTTCCCATCATAGCATCACAGCAGTAGTGTATTGTAGCTACCTCTTTGCTTGTATGTCTCAAGCTGTAAGCTCCTTAAAGGCAGGGACTTTCTCTTACCTTTCACTTTATTCATTGTATGTAGCACAGTCTCTGACTATAGTGGATATTGTAAAGGTGATGAATTTCCTCTTTGACAGAAGCAGAGAGTTATAGATATTGAGTTAAAATAAACATTTACATTTGCTTAAGTGATGTGCGCTCTGGTTGTACTCCTGCAGATAGTGAGTGTGGACTTAAGGTTTTGACTCGTAGAGCCTGTTCTCAGCCAGTGGACCCTAAATACCGCAGCTGATGCAAGGTGAATTTGGCCAGATCTGGGGAGCTGGCTTTATTAGCTCTCCAGTCTTCTAGAGTTGGCTGCCACCTGACCTCATAAGAGAGAGGTCTCAGAAGTTTATATAAGCATCAGCTACCAAGTAGAATCCAGGTGCTTTGTTCCCTTGAATTCTAAGAAATTTTCATGCATATTTGTGTTGAGTACAGAGTTCATCCTCTGGATATCCCTGTTGTATGAGCCTCCTTGGTACTGGTGCACAGTGATGCTCAACCCAGGGCAGCGGATATATGGTCAGTGACTGGTCAGCCCCTTCTCATCACCATCTCTTTTTGTCTCATTCTTCCTAATGCCCTCTCCCCACTCTAATCCCACTCTAGTTCTTTGGTTTTACCCTTCCTCTTAGCCCCCCTTTTCCTTACTATATAATCTTCTTCTCTAGACCAGCCAGTAATATAAAGGGCTGGTCTAGAGTAGGAGCTGTTCCTTAGCTCCTCAGAACAATTGAATTTTGCTTTGGACTTTTGCCTTACGCTGTTGAATCTGGCTAGTGCAGTTAGTATTAGGGTGACCATTCCGTTTGGCCTGGGACTGCCCCAGTTTTAGTACTGAAAAGGCCCGGTGTCCTGGGAAACCCCTCAGTCCTGAATGGTTTGTTACTTTAGTTAGTGCTGACCTAGGAAATTGCTGTGTCACAAGTGACTTGGGTAATTCTGAAGTTTTGTTTTCTAATACATCCTTGCATTCAGCATGGAACTTTTTTTTTCATCAGAGACTGTAATATCAGATGATGTTATGACACAGGAAATGAAGAATCTCTTCTTGCTTAATTTTCAGCCAAAAGCTTTTGAACAATACTTGAATCTGGAAGATAGCAGACTGCTGACTCATCTGAAGATGTGTTCTGCGGTGTCCAAACTTCCTTATGATCTCTGGTTCAAGAGGTGCTTTGCCGGATGTTTGCCGGAATCCAGTTTACAGAGGCAAGTATTTCTTTTGAAGACATATTGAAGGCTTAGAGTTAGAGCAGAGTTCTAGCTTTTCATGTGGTCAGCCGTCAGAGTATAAATTTGCTTTAGAACAGTACAATAATTTGAAGCCCAGTCCTTCAGCAGCTACCATAACAGCACATGATTCTGCTTATTCTTGAATATACAATTAGAAAAATTGAGGGCCCTCAGCGTGTTAGATGTTGTGAAGTAGTCACACCTTCAGCGGTCTCCAGGAGTTTATATAAGCATCAGCTCCTCTTTTCCAGAAATGTGACAAATCCTCATCTAGCAGAAATCTTATTTCTTAGTTCTGTCATGATAGCCTTAAAGAAGCTGACGGCAATTGGGCTGGGCGCAGTGGCTCACACCTGTAATCCCAGCACTTTGGGAGGCCAAGGTACGGGTGGATCATGAGGTCAGGAGTTCAAGACCAGCCTGGCCAAGATGGAGAAACCCCATCTCTACTAAAAATACAAAAATTAGCCGGGTGTGGTGGCAGGTGCCTGTAATCCCAGCTACTTGGGAGGCTGAGGTAGAGAATTGCTTGAACTCATGAGGTGGAGGTTGTGGTGAGCCGAGATTGTGCCTCTGCACTCCAGCCTGGGTGACAGAGCAAGACTGTCTCAAAAGAAAAAAAGCTGAAGGCAGTCAAAGATTTGAGATTTAAACTAAGTTCTTCCAGTCAGTTTCAGACAAGTGTTATGAGTATTTCTGAGTCCAGGTGCCACCCATGAAGACTTTGTGATGTAGTAGAGGAGAAAGGCAGCACACAGAGAACATTATAAGATAATATGTAACTAAGTGTATAAAGTAGAATACCAACTTTTAGGAGTTATATGAATGATCAGAATTATTATCTTAGAGTGGTTGTAGATCAGTAAGTGGCTCCTCAGCCCTTAGAGAAGTTTAAGGAGTCTGTCCCCAGAATCTCTGGCAAGGAAATAGAATTTATCTCATTTCATATACATCTTTTGTTGTCCCTTAGTATGCTATGATTATACTAGCATTACAGAATATTAGCAGAATACAAACATTAGTTTAGGGTTTTCTTTTTCTTCCTCAAAAACGTCAGATTCCCAACATGAGGGAATGTGATTTCGGTAGATACCTAGTGGAGCGGCAATTTTTAGTAAACTTTGCTTTTTCCTTCTAGTGCTGATTGTATCTAGAATAGATTTCAAGTGGCTTCTCTATTTTATTGTTGTTTTGATGATTATTTCACAAAAGTTGTTCTTTGGAGATTTTACATAAAATTAGAGCAATTTGATTTTATTTTGTAATTTGAGTATATCTCCTTACTTTTATAGGGTTTGGGATAAAGTTGTGAGTGGATCCTGTAAGATCCTAGTTTTTGTAGCTGTTGAAATTTTATTAACCTTTAAAATAAAAGTTATGGCACTGAACAATACAGAGAAGATAACAAAGTTTCTGGAAAATGTAAGTGTGCTTTGATTTGATTTTGAATCTAGAAATGAAGTCACCTTAGCAAGTCAGATTTTCCTGTTACATTAGATTATTTCAGAGAAATAATACCTTAGAATATTTCAGAGGATAATTGATTATTTTAGATAAATTTTTTTAAGAGAAATAATAATTAGATTTGATTTTGAATCTAAAAATGAAGTCACCTTAGCAAGTCAGATTTTCCTGTTATATGATTATTTCAGAAAAATAATACAGTATATTTTTACATTTTAAGAAACATTTTTCCTTTGAAAAAGTTTGGCTTAAAGTTGGCCTGAGGATTAGTTTGCATCCTGTCTTTGGGAGATGACCTCGTGAATATGTCCGTTTAGAACCAGAGTCTCATCCTCCACATGACTCTCAGCAGGCATGTCAGGAAAAGGAGTAGATGAGATTTGTCATTTTACAATAAGTAATTTTTGTCAGTTCAAAAGGGATTCTGTATTTCGGAGGATTTTGTAAGCCGTTTTTTCTGTTACTGTCTCTAATGTAATCCCAGTTGGGTTTAATTATATACAGTATTACCCCTGGGCCACCTAGTATATTGCTGAAAAAGGCAATGGTAATGAATTTAACTTTTCCCTCCCTATGTGTCTTGGAATACCTTTACCAGGCAGGAAGTAGGATTAAAGGGGCTTATGCCTGAATGATTTTCACAGAATCCTAAATCTATTCATTTTTTAAAATAGTATTAACATTTGAAGAATGGCCTGGTAAATAATAATAAAGTACTCAGTAAATATGTGTTGAATAAATGAATCATCATTATAACCGTAAGTGGCTAATGGTGCCAGGCCTGTGCTAAGTATTGTCAATGGGTTATCTGATGTCATACTGTTAACAGCTCTGCAAAGGCAGGCTGTCGTGTCCCCCATTTTAGAGATGGGATCTGAAGCCCAGGTAGCTTAGTAACCTGCTCAAAGGTGCACAGTTAGTGAGCAATGCAGGATTTGAACCCAGTCAGGCTGACACTAGAGCTCTTTCCTGTCCTCAGGTAGTATGTGACACAAGCCTTTTATTCTGTCACTTTCTGAAAAACAGTGAAAACTCCCATAGAAGTAAATTTTTTGCCACAGCAAATGAGGGAAGACACAAAAGTTGTAAACACTGAAATTTCACAAAGACTGGTTTGCTTGTCCACAGATTCCCCAGGACAGCTCGGATGCCATCGTGAGCAAAGCCATTGACTTGTGGCACAAACACTGTGGGACCCCGGTCCATTCCAGCTGAACGCAGCCGCTGGTTGTGGACCGTCTGGCAGGTCCACCCTGAGCATTTGTGTTCTTTGCATGTGATCTGGGAAACTGATTGAATAATAGTTTTCTTGCTTTGGTGCTCAAAGTGATTTTTTTCCCCAATAAAATTATTTAATTGAAATACCTGGTGTGGCTGTGTTTGGGAGCAGCATCTTGAAGTTACATAGAAATGTAAAGTTCATCTCTCAATAGCATTTCAAAAGGGTTGTTAGACAATAGCTCCCCGATTTTAAAGTGGTTTTGTCAGGGTGAGTGGGTATGTTAACCAGCAGTGCATAACTAAGCTTGCCCTGCCTCTCTCTAACTGGCACCAAGCTAGCTACTTTTAAGGTCTGTTTCTAGAATAAGAGTGACTTCCTTTTGTTGACACCTCAGATTTGGCTTTTGTTGGTGCAGCACGTGTTTACATCTAAGCCAACTGCCTTCTGAGGCTTCATCTTGTTAAATAGGCTTTAAAAAATTCCTTACTCTTTTTTTCTCTTAGGGCCAGTTGGAATGAAACCATTATTGAACAAAGTGTGTTTGAATTGCTCCTAGGAGCAAGTACTTGTTTGGTAGTTTGCTGCACTCATGTTTTTTCTTGACAGGTCGTTAAAGGTGGGATGTTAGGGAGCATTGTGCCACACACTAAAGAAGTGAGAGAAATGGCTGGTGAAGGTGAACTGCTTATGACCCCTGGGCAACCTCATGCCACGTCATGGCCACTCTTCACTGGATAGTTCTCGGCCTTGGGAGTGGTGAGTGAAAGCGGACCCATTGTTTCACACTGGTTCTGCCTTCAGACCTGCAAGAGCTTGAGTGGTGAGTGGGATTCTCCACCCACCCCTTAAAGGAGGAGGGCAGTTATGAACTTACAGAGGTACAATTCTGAGAATTCAGGCCCTCCCTAATGTGTGAAATATCTGTTGAAAAAAAGTTCAGAGGAAGTGTGAGTTGTTGAAATCTGCTTCTGAATACTAACACATCCAATAGTATTTAATTTTTTTTTTTTTGTTTTTGAGTCGGAGTTTCGCTCTTGTTACCCAGGCTGGAGTGCAATGGCGTGATCTCGGCTCACCGCAACCTCCGCCTCCTGGGTTCAGGCAATTCTCCTGCCTCAGCCTCCTGAGTAGCTGGGATTACAGGCACGCGCCACCATGCCCAGCTAATTTTTGTATTTTTAGTAGAGACGGGGTTTCACCATGTTGACCAGGATGGTCTCGATCTCTTGACCTCGTGATCCACCCGCCTCAGCCTCCCAAAGTGCTGGGATTACAGGCTTGGGCCACCGCGCCCGGCTAGTATTTAATTTTTTAAAACAAAAATGCACTCCAAAGAGAAACCTTTTAAAGCAAAATTGCTGCCTAGAGTTAAAACTTTAATAAAAAAATGACTTATTGCTAACCATTTATGTAGGAGCCCTGGCGCTCTTGGGGAGCAGGAAGGCTTAGGGGCTGAAGTTCCTCTTACTTCACTGTTTTGGCGGGAGGCCAGCTGATCTGAAGTGGAAGACTGTTACTGTACAGCTAAGGGGCCTAAAAATAGATATTCTGCAAGTATATTCTGTCAAACTCAGTTTGGTAAAACCTTTCTGGCTCTAGGGTGTGGGGCAGCAGTTTTTTCTTGAAGTTAGTCAATGTGATACCATCAATAGTTTTTCCTTATTAAAATACTGATTGGCAGAGTGATTTTTTTTTAAGGACCACTGTGAGAAAGTGCTGGAGAGGATGAGCATCCAATTTCGTTTTCATAGCAGAATTTCACTTTGCCGAGAGCTAAGTGTTTTGAAAATGTTTGTGCCTGCTGTCTTGGGGGAGGAGTGCAGTTCCTGATAAAAATACATCCATATGCCTTTTCCTCAAAACATTTTGTCAGGATACTGCAGAAGTTTTTCTTCATATATTAAAACGCTTCCTGTCACAAAACTGTTGCGGCTAAAACGTGGGATTCTTCCTCGCCCTTGGAAAGCTGGAACTTAACATGATCAAATTTAGTTTCTGCTCTTTCCCTTTGGGAGATTTGTTTTAAACAGATGAGAGAAGGTCTCAGTCCTCTTGGCCAGCAGAAAGGAAGGCCAAGGAAGGTTGGAGAGTGTGTGTGTGTTGGGGGTGTGGCTTTGGCCTGATGACAAATTGAATGGATGGATTGTGTGCACACAGGCTTGTGTGTCAAGGCTGTTTCAGGAAATGAGGTCAGGGTTCTGAGGTCAGGGTTCACGAGAATGAAGCACTTTCTTTGTTAATGGAAAGTTTGCCTGTAAATTATGGAGCAACACTCAAATCGCATGACATGCTGAAGGAGCTCTGAGGACCTTCTTGCACTGTAGCTCTGGGTATGACAGGCTTCTGCCCGGTCTTGAATTACGTAAGTTCCCTGTCATGTGGTCATCACCTCCCCATGGTGAATCAAGGTTTTTTTGTTTCTCTCTGAAAGTGAAGAACCTGGAGGGAGGCCAGTGGGGATGAGGAGGGTAAGCAAATAACTCTGATGCCCAAGACCAGATCCTAAAATGAGTTGCTTGCTCACATGGCCCAAGTGACAGCCCCTGCCCGAGCTCTGTGACCATAAGCAGCAGAGTGACATCCCAAGTTCTCCAGCCAAGGCAGCCTTTGGGGAGCCTGGTGAGGTGTGGGGGTGTGGACAGTGAATCTGCCTGGATCACATAGGGTCAGCACCTTTTGTCTTTAGCTGGGTGTTTTGGGTCTAGAAGGGCCAGAAGGTGCTTTCCTCTGCCCTTGACAGAGAGGGAAAGGAGTGTGGGAATTTGGGGAGCAGGAGTTGATGGCATTCACTCTGGTGGTGGAAACAAAGAACACTTCTCTTTGAGACTTTGTGCCAAATGAAACTGCCGGTGGCTCTTGGCACAAGCTGTGGCTCCTAGATCAGCTGGTGTTCCTCCAGAGCTGGCACCGGTTTGAGTAGGAGGGAGGGGTGGTGAAGGACGGCGGCGAGGAGATCAGAGGGTGGTAGTGATTTCTGGGGGACCACGGTGGGGGTGCTGACCTTTCATGGCTTTCCTGACTGGTCGCCTTTTCTACTTTGGTTCCTCTGTCAGCCTTGCGTTGGAGAGGTTAAAAAGTGAGTGGACAGTTGCTGGATGAGGTGACAACTCCCCACCTTACTCCTGGGGGCTGATTTTACTCCAGGACAATGACAAAGGGAGGTGGAGGATGTCATCAGAGAAGGACACACAAGAATCCTAGAAGCTTGTCCTGACTAAGCAGAACTCCAAATCTAATTTCGTAGCAAGCACTTAACATTCACACCTCCAACTCATACCTATTACTGAAGTTTTCCTTTGAAGTTACCAAGAACTTACACAGCAGGCACTGGGGACTACCAGAGCTCACACTAAGTGCTGGACACTTCCTGCTTTTGTCCATCATCTTTTCCCTAGAGTCTTAATAAGTAGCAACCTGGTACATGCTGATAATTTTAGCATTTCCCTTTTCCCTACTTCTGCCTACCCTCTGGACATAACACTAAGAACATTTGAGAGGTGGGCAGCAAAGAGGAGAAGCTTTGGAAGATTTGCTTTTTTTTTTTTTTTTTTTTTTTTTTTTTTTTTTTTTTTTTTTTTTTTTTTTTTTTTTT